AAAAATTATAAAGTACTTTGCTTACTTTTTGGATTTCATTCAAATCTTGTTTGAATTCAAAATTTTATTGAGAATTTATTGAAACAGAAAAAATTACAAATTTTATCATAATTATTCGGATTTATGAATATAAAAATTTTTTTTTTTTTTGAAGACTAGATAATATTATATATATTTATGTAGGTGCGTAACAAAGCGAAAAATTTAAGTTTCACATAATCTAAATTAATTTATATCTCTGTACTCGCTGGATTTTTACGATAAAATGACAATATAATTTAAAATCATTCCGACAAGGATCTCTGAAAAATCTAATATTATTCAGTTATGGCGCACCAACCTGGTACACATTTTCCGGATGCACACCAAGTTATGTCTGCTCCTCTAATCAGTACGAAATTAGTAGAACAACTTCAAAGTCAAAATGTCCGAAATAGTGGGAATCTACATGATTGTGTAGAAATTATCAATAAGAGTATTTTTGATTGGGATGAATTTGTTGTGGATCCTTGTTATATTTTTGCATTGGTATGTTTTTTATATTCATTTGTTTAAATACTTGATTTATAAAAAATTTATTATAATTTTGCACATGATTTAGTTCGTTATGACTACGCCATACCAGGCTTTTGTAATAATAGACGACGAACAGCAAACTTCCATTTTCATCAAATATGATATTGCCAGAGTTCATACCCGCTAAAGAATTTTTATTTCTCGAAATATTAAAAGACTGTTATTTCCCATAACATTAATAATTTCAGATTTTTATAAACATCCCGATACTATTCGGGGGATAGATGCTCCTGTGGTACAAACACGTTATGAAGATACAATGGATGGTTTGATATTTTTTCCCTACAAATTTTGAATTCTGAGAGATATTTATCGGTTTGTTTGTCATTCAAATAAAAAATATGAGAATATTAGAATTTTAACACAACGGGATTTTTTAAAACGATACACAGATTAGAAAGGACTAAAACTAGGAGTGGTGAAATTCGATGCTTAATGTATTACGAAAATATATATTTTTTCAAATTGAATAACTGCCTTAGTTCAACTGTCGAGCAAATAATTTTTAAATGGTCGAATTATAGAATTATAGAATGAATTAAAATTTTAATATCTGTTAATTAATACGAATTTGAATTATAAAATAATCGTCTTAAAGTAGTTAATTATATAGCATCTTTCTTATTTTGAAGATTAAAGATTTATAAAGTATAGGTAATAGGTAAATTATGATTGGCTGACAGCCAATTAATGAAACAGATTCATGTGTTCGTAATATTGATAGTACAGAATTATATTATTTCTAGTGGATAATTTGTCTCAGTAAGAACTTTTCACTAGAACCTCTATAACACTGGAAAATTTTAGAAGTCCAGTGGGGTTCCAGCTTCCAGTCAACAACACTGATTTACATATAAATTTGATTAATTAGGTGACTAACCGTAGATGCCATTAAAATTTCAAACATCAAATATTGAACCTCTAAATTGCTATAACTAATATCAATAGTATGAATAAAACTACTATTAAGATTCCGATACAAAAATTAGATTTAGACTCTAAATAAAAAATTATAATTCAATTTTATTAAATAAATAAATAAAGTAACTAATCAAAAAAAAAAAAAAAACCAAAATCTCAAATAGAAGATATATACCTTCATTTGCTTTAATAATATATTTAACTTTCTTCATTGCATATTCTAATTTGCTAGACGTATGATCCGTATGTTCTCCAAATTCATCTAATAACCTACAATGAATGATTAAAACGCAAATTCGAATATTATTATTATTATTCAATATTCTTAGCTAATTATGTAATTATAAATGACAACTCACTTATTTTGTTCTTCAATCTCATTTCTCATCGTAGTAGCAATATCATGGATATTTAAAGCAGTACCATATAATGATTTTAGCTGTTCATCTTGTTCCTGAACCAAAACCTTATTTTATAAGGTAGATGATATGTGTAAATGAGATAAATAATTTATGATCAACAAATTTTTTTCAAATAAGTACCGATTGGTGGAAAGTTTCATTTTCTATAAATCTTGTGTTGTCCATTTCTATAACTTCCTCATACCTTGATTTTGTTCGGTTTTGTTCAAAAGTTGGTTTATAACCATTCATCAGAGCCTATTTATACTATATAAACTCTCAAATATATTGTTGTTAGGCGGAATTGTTTTATGTAAATGACGGAAAACGAAATCTAAGCCCGAAACGAAACCCCTGGTGAAAGAAATCCCGGTGAAGATGAAACCCTTAAAGAATAAAAGCCTCAAAACTCTAATAAAAACGTTCTAGGGACTGAGCTACAGTTAGTAACAAATATTTTTCTATGGTGTGTGGCTGTATTCTGTATATACGATAAAAAAATAATGTTGAAATAATGTCTCATGCTATTTAGCCAATAAAATCGTGAGTTTTTTTTAATGATAAAAAATAGGATTAAAATTTAGAAAATTACTAGATTTACCGGTACCTCATAGGAGGACAAACGTCTGATTGGCTAGTGTAAATCAATTGCCCGGGTAACTAATTTATATAGTTTAAAGTACTTTTTCAAAGTGCACTGTTTCACAATTTTACTTATAAAAAATATCATCGTTAGGTTTATAATATTATTGCCTTTCACTATAAAAAATAATTAGAAAATAATCATAAAAACAGAGAACTTCACTTAGAAGCACATATTTTACTATAAACTGCTAATATTAGTTATATTATGAAGTTTAAATACCAAAAACGGTCAACAAAAAACAAAATCGAGACATTACTGTAAGCTTTAAACGAAGAACTTTGAGTATACTGTTTTTTATACTATATATATTACAATAACAATAGGCTTGTATTAACATTTATATTTACATTATAGAGTTATGTTATTAGGTTAGTAAACGTAACTTTGGGTTAAGTAGTAGATCGATAATATTATAAGTAATATTGTTTCATTAATTATATGTTAGAGGTTATATCGTATTTATAATAAAGGCGATAATTAAAAATAAGATTTGTAGAATTATTTTAATTACTTTTCGAAATATTAATAAAAAAGAATAAAAGATAACCGTTAATAATTTATTTGATATTAAATTTTAATTAATTTGGGTTTGGATTTATTACGAATAGAAAAAATATCAATTTAAGGCTATATTATTATTGAAATCAAAAATTTGAAGCCTAATAATAACTATTTAAAGATCAATATTCAAAAAATTGCAATTATTTTTCGATTATAATAAGTTTTTATATATCTAAGAATTAATATTGTACACTCTTCATGTGATCACAAACAGTAGGGATTACCCATGTGTAACTCCGCATATCAAATTAATAAAATCCCTTCAGCAATGTAAGACAATAAAAAAAAAAAAAAATGTAGATATTAATACTAGGAAACAGGCATGTCCGGAGCTAAAAATTCAATTATGATTATATAGCTAAAAATATAAACATCATCTAATCTAAAAACAGGTGCGAACTAGTGATGGGACCTAAATACTTTCGGCAGTTTTCTGGGCTTTTGCCGAACCCAAATGTAATCCCAAATCCCAAATATATTCCCACACGTGCAATGATAAAAATTTTTACTACGTATGATCGCTGATTCAAAATAAATATAATGACAATTTTAATAAATATAATGACGTTTTTACTGTAAATATAATGTTGCTTTTAATAAATATAATGATGCTTTTAATAAGATAAATAATAAAGAAATTTTCAAAATTTAAAATATTTTTGTATCATCAAATGGATATTATGGACCTCCAACAAGCGATACTACGGAATAATCAACAAGTATTATATCGAAAGAAAAGTGGACGTCCAAAAGCTGCGGCATGGGTGTATTTTACGAAGGGCTCAGCTGCTGATAAATATGGACATTATAGTACAACTTGCGTATATTGTGGACAGAGTTGGTTAAGAGGCAAACCAAAAGTAATGGAAAGCCATCTTGCATTTACGTTGTGAAAAGGTTTCTGATTATGTTAGTAATATGTCGAGGAAATTTACATTTTGGTGTAGATAACATTGTAAAGAAGCTTTAGAAGCTTTAAAGCAATGATATATAATTTAGCGTAATATACTGTATAAAACTATGTAAATGCTACAAATAATTAAACTTGCGACATATTATGCTATATAAAATCGTTTCGGCTTTTTGGGATTTGGGCATGTGCCGAAACTATTGGGATTGGGTCCCATCACTAGTGCGGACATAATAACAGTGATATTTTTGTATTATTTTATATTAAAAAAATTTCTTGCAAAATTTTAGAAAAACTATGCTATGTTCTAATACTAATCCAGTTCTAACCCTAACTCTACTATTAAAAAAATATTTAGCGCATTATATTTGTTTTGATTTTGTTATATACTAGTGTTGAACACTAGTAGTTTAAAAAACAAGTTAAAAAAACTGTTTTTTGAAAATTTGCTTAATTAATAAGCAATTGTAATTTACTATTATAATCTTCTAAGACAATTGATTTCTATATGTAATCCTTTAATTTTACCGCGTTACTTTTTTTATTTATTTATTTTATCTTTTTTTTTTACAGCTGCTTTATCAATGAAAGAATATATTGTATATATCAATTTTAAAAGTACAAGCCTGCATATATGGATGAACTTCAGTCTCATATGATCAGTTTCAAAAAGCTGCACGAAAACCTCCAGACTTTCTGTCTTTTTACAAAAAACATGATCGCGTCTAGATATGTCAGTTGATTAGTAAGATAATTTTATTATCGCAATGGTATTATCAGGTGCTTTTTCTGTGGATTCCTTTAGATTAAGAGATATTAGAGTTAGTAAAAGAACTTTTGATTATTAAGCTATCGGAGATTTTAAATTGTCGGAATTTCATAGTGAATTTGATTTGAGGATTTGCAGAGTCGGGGTTTAAAGTTGATTATTAACGTTAATTAATATTAAATTAAAATCGGGTACTCAAAATATGTTCAGATTATCTGATAAGCAAATTAATGCCTTTATTGTTCATATTTAAATAGTCGAATAATTTTTTTAATCCATGTGATGATAATGCATAGGAAGGTTAAAACGAATTCGAAATTATGTATAAAATAAGGACTTGGTGAGATAAAAAAAAAAAGACTATTCGCAATGGCAAAAATTATTATTATCATGTAAGAAAGCATTTAATTACAAACTATTTTATTAAAACAATAATATTGAAATTCTCTTTTATATGGTATTTAGTAATGCGACATACTCTCATGTGTATCAATTGGCCATTGAAATAAAAAAGGAAATAGAAATTGCCAAACTTGGATCAAATGTTGAAATTTTTCAAATTCCAAAAATCTTTCAGGAGCAAGTCCCAGACCAAGTGTACGCATACAAAATGCCAGATATTCCATTTATTGATACCAAAAAATTAGCAGAAGTTGATGGAATTCTTTTTGGGATCTCTACAATATCTGGGCAATTTCCGACCCAATTTAAAGCTTTTCTTGATTCATCGAGCCAGCATTTGGAAAAAGGTTTATTAAATAATAAATTTGGTGGAATTTTTTTTTCAACAGATACACAAATCGATAGTCAAGGTATGAAGTCATAATAAAAAAATTAAACCCATTTTCAAGTTTTCCTAATTGATTCTTGTAACTGATTTTTTGATGACAGAAACGGTAGCCTTTACAGCAATTAGCTGGTTATCGCATCAAGGTATAAACTTTGTGCCACTTGGTAATGGATCACCATATTTTGGTGAAAATGAAGAAATGATTGGAGGACCTTGGGGAGTAAATACTATTACTGGTAATGATGTAATTTCCGAGAAGGAAAAGGAGATAGCACAATTTCAAGGAAAGAAATTTGCTGAAATTGTTACAGCCTATGTTAAAGGAAGACAAGAGTAAGTATAGCTTTTAAAAAAATGAATTTTTTTGAATGATTAATTGTATAACTATGATTAAAATGACGAAACAATTTAAATCATTATTTTTCTTATATATCATCAATAGAATGGCCGTGACAACAAGAACCGTTACAGAGAATCCAACTAAAACTATAAATGAGAAAATAGGAAAGCCATTTAGAAAATTTTTAGTCGGTCGCAAAGTGCAAGATTAATCAATATAAGAGTTGACAAAACTTGCGATAACTGCGATTAGAGGTTAAACCAATTTTATGCCAAATTATAATTGAGTTAACAATAAGTTATAAGCAATATAAAATAAGTATAAACAAAATTTTACTATCAATTTATCACTCAAAAAAAAAAACTATGGTAAGCTAAATATGACCCTTGATAACCTGCAATAAATATATTGTAGCATTATTATAGTAAAATAGTTTATCATTAATAATACAAGTTTTAATAATAATAATAAAGTTAATCTGTTTTCTTAAAAAAAAAAAAAAAAATTATCTGAAGTTATTATAGTGTTGAAATATATTTTTTTACAAACCCTTCTTACAGATTATTTAGATTCTAATAGTAGCAAAATAATTAGTTATTTCTGTAAGTCGAAAGATATTAATTTTTGTAATTTGCAACTATATCTGATATGATTTTTACTTATTTCGGCATTCCAACTTTATTATACGTAATGTATAAATTTATTCTTTTAAATAGTGAATCATCTCAAATTATTTTTAAAATCTTAATTTTAATTCACAAAGTAAATTAAAGAATATATTATTATTATTATTTTAAGGGTGAACGCTTTGTCGCAAGTATTTTATTAATTAATTAATATTAACACATAGACCAGATACTAGACCCCTATATTAAATATGCTACGTATACAAATTTACTAACTACAGTACGTATTACTAACAACTTAATTTATACCTATGTAATATCTTACTGAAATTAGTAAATCTTATAATATTTACTTAATTTAGATTTTATTAGTTATGTTTTATTGTATTTATTGTATCTCTTATTTGGTTTTACTTTAGTACTTCTAAATTGGTGTTGTGTTTGATTTATTACTAAATATCCTTTGTTACACATTTTTTGGTAGTAAAATTTTTTAACTAATATTATATAAAATTTTATTTTAAACAAGTTTATTAAAAGATAAAATTAGATTATATTAGTAAAAAAAAAAAAGTTTTATATAGAAAAACTAAAAAATTTAAATTTATTATATAGTAATCTTATTTTTTTACTAAGATAATCTATTTTTGTTTTCTAGATAAAGTTGTTTAAATTAAAATTTTACATATAATTATAGTTTTATAATTAAATAATATTTTTTATAATAATATTATACAAATAAAATATATAAATTTTAAAAAATTTTATTATTAATTAAAATATATTTTTATTTTAAAATATATAAAATCTTATTAAGTAATAAAGAGAAAAGAAAAAGACCAACAAAAGATACATGTAATTCAAAAAATAAAAAAGATAGAATATATATTATAGTTATAGGTAACTTTAATAATATCAAATCTAAAGAATTAGATTATAGCAAGAAAGAATCTAATAAAAAACAAGTCTTATATTAAGATAGCTAGAAAACTCAAAACTTAATAATATATATAGAAAGTTTTATCTGTATAAAAGAAAATATATATAATTAAATAAAATATTTTATACCAGAATAAATTATATATGAGCATTAAGTTTACTGAGTTAATATAATATAAGTTATAAAATAGTTAAAGCAGATTTTATTATAGGAAGTAATTACAATATAGTTATAGCAAAATTAGATACAGATATTAGTTTAAAGATAAGAAAGTTAGCAAAAAAGAAACAACTAAAAGATAAGAATAAAATACTAAGATTTATTGAAACAAAAGAAGAAGAATAAAAAGAGTATAGAGTAAAATAAGATAAAGAAATGATTAAATTATTAAAAATAGAAGATAATATTAAGCAAATTAAAGAAAGATGTAGAAGTAAAGATATTAACAAAATTTGAGATATTATCTTAAACAATATAATAAAAAATATATATATAACTCTTTCTAATAAGAAATTAGTAACAGAAAAAATATTACTAAAAGAAATTAATAAAAGTATTAATATATAGAAAGATCTGAAGAAGTTAGATAAAATTTGTTATATATATTTAAAGAAGGTAGAGCAAGCTATAAGTAAAGAAGATTATTAGCAACTAAATATAGAGATTGAGTGGATCAATAGTAAATATAAGCTATAAATAAACAGAATAACAAAAACATATTGGTCAAGAGAAAAAAAAGAGACTATAAAAGTATAGTAAAAATATCTATACTCTAAAGTTAAACGAGAAAAAAAAAAAGATCTTTTAGAAATAAACAAATATATAGATATATAATATAAAACAATTCAAAAGAAGCTAAAATATATGCTAAATAGTTTGCTCAAAAGATTATCAAAAAAGATTAAAGTAAACAGAGTTATCAGAAGTGAAGAGATTCTGTTCACAAAAGATAAATAAATACTTAATGAAATAAAATCATATTTTAAGAAGCAATTCTGAAAAAGAACAAATTATATATAATGCTATATAACTCTTTTCAATGATCCTTAAAATCAAAAATAGTAAAAATAAAAAAAAACTTTTATATATATAAATATACTCTATCTTTAAACAAAATATTCACAAATAAGACTAAAAAAACTAGAAGTTTAGTAAAATATATCTTGTTGTTAAAGAGTAGACTATGAGCTAAACATGAATTATTAGTACTTTGGAATATTTTATTATTTAAAAAAAGCTCTTAGAATATGAAAGTTACAAAAAATTCTTGAATAGAGTTGAGTACAATAACTCTTTTTATACTTTTCAAGTTATTTTGGAATCACTTATACTTACTTTCTATACTATAAGCTAGTCTTAGAGACTGCTTTAGCTGTTTGGTAAATCTTAGAGTTTTTTTGAACAAAAAGTAGAAATCTAACTTACTTCTTACTGATAATCAGCATGTATGTTATTACTATTTTGGAAGTAATTATATTGTTATTTAATAACAAACATGTTTATAGTAAACTCTGTTCATTTCTGAGGATTGTAACCTTGTAAATTACATTGTACCAATATTAATTAGATATTAGAAGTATGATAGAATGTTGGAGTTGTGTTATATAAAAAATTGAGATAGGATCTATAAATAGAAGACCTGTATAGTAGAAATCTGAGTTAGGTAAAATAGTACAGATTTCAATAGTTATGCTAGTTAATGCTTGATCTGACAAAGATTTTTGAATACAAATATATAGATTAAGTAGGTATAAGTAAGTTTATGATATTCAGTGTTAGCAAATAATCTAAGTCATAATATTTTTTTAATATGACCTTAGTCATATAATCATATGACTTGTCATAGGTCATATATGTAGGTCATATTAAATAATAGTAAAAAAAATTTTTGCTATAAATTTTTCTATATTAAAAAGATCATAAGTCATATCAATATTCATTATAACCAAATAACCTATGACAGGTTATAGAGGTCATATAGATCATAACAGGTCATAGACCAACACTGATGATATTAGATATTATAATAACACTAACTTAGCTTAATAGCTAACTAGATTAGAAAGATCTGTTTTGTAAAATATTTAAAAGAACATAGAAGTCTAACTTAGTAAAAAATTATAGCTAGAACTAGATCTGTACGAATATTAAATAAAAGTATATACAAGCTAGATTAGGATATAGCATAGCATAGTTAGGTATTGTAGTACTCATTTATTAGGGGGTGTTGAATATGATACTTATATAGATAAGATCTAGGCCTATAATAGTAAAGTTTGTAATATATATTAGCTTGAGTAACTCCTAATGTAAAGTAGTACAAGATTATGAGTTAACTTAAAGAGTAATATTTGCAGTAAGTGAGATAAGGTCAGAAAGTTTAAATAGAAAATCTTTTAAGCAATTTCAAATATAGCAACTAGTATAAAACCTTCAAACAGACTACTTAAATTAGACAATCTAAAATTGTATGTATAGCTAGTTGTACTCTTACAATATATATCATATTCTATACTAAGAAATTAATAAAGTTAGCTGATAGCATTTGTATAAAATAAAAATAAAATAAAAAAATAAAAAAACAACAAATACATATAGTCATATTATATTTTGAGCTATTACTTTAGGCTATAATATTCATATGAATAAACTCTACATGTATAGACAAAAACCAAATAGATATATTAAAATTATATAGATATATACAAATAAGTACAAGTTGTATATATAATTTTTAAATACCTAGTTTGAGTTCTTATTTCTTGTTAGATTAGGTTTAGAATTGGGATATCTTTTTTTTTTTTTGTTTTGTTTTGTTTTTCTTCTTGCTTTTCTTTAACTGTTTTAAAATTTTTTAACTTGCTTACAAATTTTCTTTAGTATAGTTTTGAATTTAAGTTATTATCTAGTATATACTTAATACTTTTACTAGATATAACAATTTTATTATATTTTATATAGTTTGACCCTATACAGTTAGATAAAGTTTTTAGATTTTCTTTTTTTCTTTTATATTAAGAAGACATTCTAGTACAACAAATCATATCTAAATATATGAAGAAGTATTAGGTAATGCTTCTTATTAAGAAATGAAGAATAATATAAGAGATTTTTTTTTTTAGACTAGCCATCTAATTTGTAACTTTACAATTTCATAAATAAAGCAAGCATATCTGTCAAAAGAAAAAAAAATTCTGAAAAAGAAATATATAAAAAAATAACTTTTTTTTATAGATATACTAATGTATATAGTCTAATTAAATAGATAAAAAAAATATATATATAGTAATCTTTCTGATAAAATAACAAAAAAAGAATAATATATTGTATTAAACAATGTGAAGAACAAATTAGTATTAGATATTTCAAGTATAAGCTATCTACTTATTAAAAAAGTAAAAAAAATAGCTTAAAATATCTTTTTTATATTAGCAAACTAATACTTAGTAGAAAGAGATATTTTTATTAAATAAAAAGTAAGATAGCTATATTTAATTTCTAAAAATAATGACTAAAACTATAACTTTTTGAATATTAGACTTATAATACTACTTGAAGTATTTAGAAAGATAGTAGTAAGAGTAGTTAATAAAAGACTAAATCAGATTTTCATAGAGTATAATATATTTGAAAATTTAAATTATA